CATCCGCTGGTGGGCTCGTGATCACCGTGCTCACCACCGTTATACCGACACCGACAAGGACCCCTATTCCGTTCGCAAGGGTCTGCTCTACTCTCACCTTGGATGGATGGTGATGAAGCAGAACCCCAAGCGTATCGGCCGTACCGATATCTCCGACCTGAACGAAGACCCCGTCGTCGTCTGGCAGCACCGCAACTACCTCAAGGTCGTTTTCGGTATGGGCTTGGCTGTTCCCATGCTCGTTGCCGGTCTTGGCTGGGGTGACTGGATGGGCGGCTTCGTGTACGCCGGTATTCTGCGTATCTTCTTCGTCCAGCAGGCCACTTTCTGTGTCAACTCGCTTGCCCACTGGCTCGGTGACCAGCCCTTCGACGACCGCAACTCTCCTCGTGACCACATCATCACTGCTTTGGTCACTCTGGGTGAGGGTTACCACAACTTCCACCACGAGTTCCCCTCCGACTACCGCAACGCGATTGAGTGGCACCAGTACGACCCTACCAAGTGGAGCATCTGGATCTGGAAGCAGCTTGGTCTCGCCTACGACCTCAAGCAGTTCCGCGCCAACGAAATCGAGAAGGGTCGTGTCCAGCAGCTCCAGAAGAAGATCGACCAGAAGCGCGCCAGACTCGACTGGGGTACTCCCCTCGACCAGCTTCCCGTCATGGAGTGGGACGACTATGTTGAGCAGGCCAAGAATGGCCGTGGCCTTGTCGCCATCGCCGGTGTTGTTCACGACGTGACCGACTTCATCAAGGACCACCCCGGTGGCAAGGCTATGATCAACTCCGGTCTCGGCAAGGATGCCACTGCCATGTTCAACGGTGGTATTTACTACCACTCCAACGCCGCCCACAACCTGCTCTCTACCATGCGGGTTGGTGTCATTCGTGGTGGTTGCGAGGTTGAGATCTGGAAGCGTGCTCAGAAAGAGGGCGTTGAGTATGTCCGCGATGGCTCCGGCCAGCGGGTCATTCGTGCTGGTGAGCAGGTGACCAAGATCCCTGAGCCTATCCCCACCGCCGATGCGGCATAAAAGATTCGTTCATGACTACTACTTATCATGAATGTACAATTCGCGTCCTGTTTCTGCCTCTGGCGATGTCTCCTGTTTTATAATTTAGCACACAGGGCGTTTGATGATATTCCGAGTGTTGGGAGTTTCCGGAGTTGGCCTTGATTTGTTTTCCTTTTTTTTTTTTTTTTTCTCTTTTAAAAACCTGCAGACAGAGCGTGTCTGGTTTGATGAGTGGCTTGCGCATTTGAAAAGCGACCTGATATGATCGAAACTCCACAATGCTTGTTAAGAATAGAGCAATGAAGATATCCACATCAAAGTCTGGTTCTTGTAGGCTTAGCTTGTTCGTAGGGTGCGGGGTTTCTTATAGCGGGTGCATGCAGGGTTTTCCAAGGCTGTTTGTCAGCTTGCTTGTGCAGTAGAGCAGCAGGTATAATAGTGAGGATTAGTGGAATTGTGGAGTGGTGAGTGAGACTTGCTGAAACTTGAAGGGAACTGAAGGGTACTGAGTGTGGGTTATGGACTGACAGACTGTGGAGAAAGAGAGAGAGGTTGTGTGGGTTTTTGTTGTGGTGCGGTCACTGCAGCTGAGTGGGATCCACCTGACCTGACCTGAACTGACCAACCTCCGCTAACTGAGTTGAGCTCGAGGTTCAACTGGCAACTGGCAACAACAGCTTGCCTCACCCACCACCAACTCTCATTACTCTCATTGTCTTGCATCACAACTGCATAGCCACGTATTGTTCCCCGCTCCCTCCCCCTCCAACCTAAACCATTCGCCCATCTTCCACCATCCTCACCATTGCTACCTCTCAATTCCGCCGTACCTTTTATCTACCCGCCCTCCTCGTCCTTCTCCTGGGCGTTTTCCTCGTCACCGTGGCTCCTCCGCTTCGCATTTCCACCCCCACCTTTCGACTCACTTCAGTCCTGAGCCATCTCCGTGGCTCTCGACTGCCAACCACTCCCAACCCGGGGTTGACGAATCTTCGCAAATCTCTCACCACCGCCAGCATGGCCCCCGAGCATCTCCGCCGACCTCCTCAGGCTCCTCCCGTCTTCACGGCCACCGCCCAGTCCATCCTCGACGACGCCAATCGGCTCATTGCCAGCTCCCGCAAGATCCAGGACGATGTCGTCGCCACCGTCAAGCCCGAGTCGGCCACCTTCGACGCCGTCGTCAAGCGCCTGGCCCACGATGAGAACGCCATGGCGCTGGAATCCCACATCCTCAGCTTCTACCAGGCGGTGTCAACCGAGCAGGAGCTGCGGGACGCCTCGTCGAAGGCCGAAGCGCTGATGGACGAGTTCTTCATCGAGGCCGTCATGCGCGAGGACGTGTTCACGCTCGTCGACGCCGTGCTGAAGAAGGACGAGTCGCTCGACCCGGAGTCCCGCCGACTGCTGGAGAAGGAGCACAAGAACTACATCCGCAACGGCCTGGGTCTGCCGGCCGGCCCGCAGCGGGACCGCTTCAAGGAGATCAAGAAGCGGCTCAGTCAGATCAGCATCGAGTTCCAGAAGAACCTCAACGAGGAGAGCGGGGGCATCTGGTTCACCCCGGAGCAGCTGGACGGGGTCCCCGAGGATGTCCTGTCCGGCTTGAAGAAGGGCGAGGGCGAGCACGAGGACAAGCTGTGGCTGACCTTCAAGTACCCGGACCTCTTCCCCACCATGAAGTACGCCAAGAACGCGGAAACCCGCAAGCAGGTCACCATCGAGAACGAGAACAAGTGCAATCAGAACGTGCCCCTCTTCCAGGAGGCCATCATCCTGCGGGACGAGGCGGCCCGGCTGCTCGGGTACCCCAACCACGCCGCCTTTCGCATCGAGGACAAGATGGCCAAGACGCCCAAGACCGTGAACGACTTCCTCGGCGACCTGCGCTCCCGCTTGACGGCCGGGGGGCAGAAGGAGCTCAAGACCCTGCTGGAACTGAAGAAGAAGGACGTCGAGTCCCGTGGTGAGCAGTTCGACGGCCACTACTACCTGTGGGATAACCGCTTCTACGACCGTCTCCTGCTGGAGCAGGAGTACTCGCTCGACCAGCAACTCATTGCGGAGTACTTCCCCCTGCAGACCACCATCGAGGGCATGCTCAAGATCTTCGAGGAGCTTTTCGGCCTTGTGTTCGTGGAGATCACGGGCGAGGACCGCGAGAAGGTGGCTCCCTCGGGCAAGGGCAGCGACATTGTCTGGCACGAGGATGTCCAGATCTTTAGTGTGTGGAACGACGAATCCGAGGGCAGCGGGTTCGTGGGCTACCTCTACCTGGACCTGTTCCCCCGGACCGGAAAGTACGGCCACGCCGCCAACTTCAACCTTCAGCCGGTATTTTCTGTCCTTCTGCGTCATCCAAATAACCTACACTAACCAATCTGCCAGGGCTTCATCGATGCCGACGGCAACCGCCGCTACCCGGCGACCGCGCTGGTGTGCAACTTCACCAAGCCGACCCCCAAGAAGCCGAGTCTGCTGAAGCACGACGAGGTCGTGACGCTCTTCCACGAGCTAGGCCACGGCATCCACGACCTCGTGTCCAAAACCATCTACTCGCGCTTCCACGGCACGAGCACCGTGCGCGACTTCGTCGAGGCCCCCAGCCAGATGCTGGAGAACTGGTGCTGGACGCCCTCGCAGTTGAAGTCCCTGAGCCGGCACTACTCGACCCTGTCGCCCGAGTACCTGGCCGCGTGGAAGGAACAGGCCGCGGGCAAGACCCCGCCCGCCGAGAACATCCCGGACGAGGTCATCGCCAACCTCATCCGCACCAAGCACGTCAACGACGCCCTCTTCAACCTGCGCCAGCTGCACTTCGGCATCTTCGACATGACCGTCCACCAGCCCGAGAGCCACGAGCACATCAAGCAGCTGCCCATCTCCGCCACCTACAACCGCCTGCGCCACGAGATCACCCAGATCGAGGGGCCCGAGAGTCTGGGGCTCGGCGAGGAATGGGGCCACGGCGAGGCCACGTTCGGCCATTTGATCGGCGGCTATGATGCCGGGTACTATGGATATCTGAGGTAAGTCCCCGCTCTCCTGTTCCTTTTCTTTCGGCCGGCCATGCTGACCCCCAATCCCAGCTCGCAAGTCTACTCCACCGACATGTTCTACACCGTCTTCAAGGAGAACCCCATGAACCCCGAGGCCGGCCGTCGCTACCGCTTCAAGGTCCTCGAGAAGGGCGGCAGTCAGGACGAGATGTCCATCTTGACCGACTTCCTGGGCCGTGCCCCCAAGACTGATGCCTTCTATAAGGATATGGGGTTGGCTTGAGTTCTCGGGGTGCTGAGTTGATGATTATGAGTGGAATGAATGAAGTCAAGTTCAAGTTTACAAATATACCAGTGGAAATCACATGGCTGATGTCTCTTGATTGGATGCATTATGGACGTATACGTAGCTGGTTCTGTATATTGGAGGAATACTAGTAGTGGGTGTAGACGTCGCTTTGGATCAAGTGTAGGCCTGAATAACCCCTACGAATCATGTGGCATTTTGGAGACCTTGAGGTGGAGCGAGCAGTTTCTTGAATAAGAAAGAGTATCACCCTGATACGTTCTCATCGAAGCATGTAAGGAGGCCCGCGGGACTTGCCAAACATTGGCAGTCAGCCAAATAGGTTTCCTGGTGGGATTGAACAGCGTAGCGCTGCAGTACGCATACAGGAACAATGGCCTGGCCTGGCCTGGCACTGCTAAGGTACCACCTGACAGGGGCACCCAGCAAGCTCGGTCTTAACCCCACCCTGATTGGCTAGTCATCAACACCCGTGCTTAAATCCGACTGACTATCTGCACTATCTGCACTATCCCCGTGAGTCCACGGTATAGATCCGGCTTGCTTTTTGAGCAAGGACCATATAAACTGCATAAATCCCCTAGCCACAATTAAGCACGTCCTCATCTCGCCACGGACAGCATCCACCGACCCCACCCAACCTCAACTTCATCCATAGAATCCCAAGCTCACCACGATGCCAAAGACACCGTATACATCCCAAACCACCGCCGAAGAGGCCTGCACTGCGCTCGCGGAGCATATCCGCGGGAAAAGAGGTGGGTTCGGTTTGCCTAGACTCGCACATTTTCTCATCTTGCTCGTTCTGTATCCTTTTGCCCTTCGGTTTCGCTTGCTTCTTACCTTGTGCTGAGCTCACGCTGGACTAACAAAATGCACCGCACACAGTCCTCATAACCGGGCCCACGTCCACCTCCATCGGCGGCGCGACAGCCCTCGCTCTCGCCTCGCTGCCGGCCACGCACCACCCCTCCCTCCTCATCCTGGCTGGCAGGAACCCTGCCACATTGGAGACCATCGTCGCCAGTATCGCCGAGAAGGCACCCTCCCTCCGGGTCAGACCTGTGGTCCTGGATCTTGCGAGCCAGAAGAGTGTGCGTCGCGCGGCTGAGGAGGTCCTGGCAGACACTAGTGGCGTGGATGTCATCATCAATAATGCCGGGGTGATGGCTTGTCCGTATGCCACGACGGAGGAAGGGGTGGAGTTGCAGTTCGGGACGAATCATCTGGGGCATTTCTTGCTCACGAATCTGCTGATTCGGGAGATGCTGGAGCGGAACGGTAACAGGGGGAAGGATGGGGAGGTGGTTAGGGTGGTCAATGTGAGTAGTGCGGGGCATAAGAGAGGGGAGGTGAGGTTTGGGGATGTTGGGTTTGAGGTACTGTCGTCTTCCTTCTTTCTTCTGTTTCTGTTCGAGGAGTGTGGATGCTGATGCTGAATGACTAGAATGGAAGTGTTTACGACAAGTGGCAGGCTTATGGGCAGAGTAAGACGGCGAATATGCTGTTCTCCGTGGCTTTGGCGGGGAAACTCGGAGGTCGTGGGGTGATTTCGGTTAGTCTCTACCCTGACAGGGTTCTGTCGGGCATTGCGAGGCATTTGGTGTTGGAGGAATTTGTGAAGGCTGGTAAGTAAGCTTTCGTTCTTCATGGTCCGACGCGATGAACTGACAGAATTTTGACAGGATGGAAGACCGAGGATGGAAAGGTCGTTGATGACCCGAAGTTGAATTGGAGATCATTGAGCCAGGCAGCCGCGACGTTGATTGTGGCCGGGTTTGAGCCGAGTATTGCTGGTGAGTTTTTTTCCCATTGGGTATGGGCTGGTGCTGACATTTAACAGAGAGTAATGGGTCGTACCTGGTCAATAACCATATTGCTAATGACCAGGCTGCTGCGTATGCTCTAAGTCGAGGCAACGCGGAGAAGCTGTGGGCTCACACGGAGGAACTGGTCGGGGAGGAGTTCGACCTTTGAGCTGTAAATTTGATCTCAATGTGCCGATCAAGCAATTCTGTTATTTTCCACTGTCATGTTTGCTCGATCTTACCGGACTGGGCATATCTGCCGTGCAGCTAAAGAGGTTGCTGCGGCCAGAATAGCAGTCCCCAGCCCCAGGCCCGCACATCCGGCGTGGCACTGGTTGATACGAGTAGCAAAGTAGTGGCACAGATTCTCAGCCTTCTTCAGCCGCTGTGGCAAGGTGGTCGATGCTTCAAATTGCCCGGATTGCTTGAGCGTCTGGAGCATCTTGGCTAGAGACGCATAGACGGCTACCATACCAATCCAATACAGCAGCACAAGCGGTATGATCGAAGGGTTCGGGAACGCCAATATACTATCTCCAGATGCAGAAGCTCTTGCCGCCACGACTGATGCTCGAGACACATACGGTGGGCCATCGTTCTCCAACTCCAGCCCTCGGTACCAATCGAGCATTCGTCCTTCGTGGAAAAATGCATTTCGCATTAGATGGTCAGCAGAGTACCGGTCGATCCTCCCCGATAGTGTTTTCCGTCGCACAGCCGATAACGTTTGTGTAATCTGAAACAGTATATCCAAAAGCTGGTCACAGACGTCTGATGACGCCACCGTAAGCAGGTCAAGACTTGGGGCTGGCGTAATTTGTCCGTCGATGCAGATGCGGAGGAACTAAGCAATGCAGTCATCAGTAGGTTCCCATGCCAGAAGACAAAAAGCAGAGATATACATCGACGGTACGGAGCCGTCGCACGTCCTGTTTTCCGAGCACCGTCGTGGGTGCTTCCAGCTGCCGTACGATATTGCAGGCTGCTTGCACATGTACCTGTTATGCACCACTGTTCTGCGCTGGCGGGTAGGTGTACGACTTGTATAGGGCCAGGATCATGCCACTGCGGATGAGGTCAGTGGGCTGGTTGAGCTCGTTGAGGGCGCATATTTGCTGCACCGCAAGCTCGTACTGCTGCCGACTCCGCTGGGTGAGTGTATCGTCATGGCGGCTGTTGGCGGCATGATTTAGGGTTAAGGCAGCTAGCGACCTGTGGACCATGGGCGACTGGGCCTCCAAGAAAGAAGAAAAGGTCTCGGCCCAGTTGACGGGCGATTGATAAGTGACTGCATCCGGGGTCTTCGGGGGGAGGTAGTCGTCAAGGAAGTGAGCGATCAGCTGTATTTGATCCTGGTAAACGACCAATGATTGCTGACCGCACTCGAAGGTTGTATGTGCAGGATGTATCGGGTGTGTAGTATGTGAAGTATGTGTTCTGTGACAAGCAGAATAACCCTTACATCCGTGAGTATCCTCCACAAGTCAACTTCGAAGATTGGCACCGAGTGCATTTGGGTCGGGTCTTGTCAGACTGGACCGGAGTGGGCCTTTGGTTAGAATCCGGGGTAACAGCCGAGAAGTGGAGCAGTGTAGACTCACTCACCTTGACCTTTCTTGCCAGACACGTCCGACAGCTTTGAGCACGCCAGGAGCTTCTACCCATCCTAGCTCAATGTCTTATCTTGGTCACATCCAGGCTAGTAGAATCGTCACTACCAGAGGTAATGCCTTCTCGAAGTGAAGGTGGAGAGGAGCAGAGAAGTGGTTTCCGACTTGTACGCAATGCCGGAGCGGAAGAATATCGCACCGGGTTTGTATACTTCATTTCAGCACTCATTGATGATGCATTGTTACTGTGACGGCCTAGAATTACAAAACAGAAGCATCAAGCATGTCTTCTTGGTGAGAAAGTATGGAACCTTCTTGCATAAGAAACTCCCAACTTTTGAGGACGATAAATCGAACTGATTGCCATCTGTAATGGCCCCAAAACAACCTGCATTTCCCTCCTGCTTCCAGGCTCCTTTTGCCTGTTCATCGCGCGGCTTGAGGCCCCTGCATATGGAAATTCTAGCCCGCGAATCCCTGGGAGTGCTGCCGTTACTTTTCCATAATAATCTATAGATTAGAATAAAGATCACTAGATGACTTTGATACTCGGAGATCCTTAGATCGAATTTTCCTCCAAAAGAAAAAAAAATGAAAAAGAAAAAGAAAAACTAACTGCTCCAGGTGGGGCTGGCCCGCCTCCTCTGCCTCCTTACAAATACTACGGATCCCCTCATAGAGTCTCTTGACTCTGTCGCGCCCCTCTCCGGCCGCCTTCTTAGCGACCTCGACGCGCTCTTCTGCGGCTCTGGCCGCATCGAGGGCACTATCGACTTGCTCACGAAGAAGCTTGTACGCCCCCTTGGCAATTTCGAGGCGCTCCTTCAGCTCACTCATGTGGGACTCCTGACCCTGGGTCAGCCTGCGCTTTTTGTACACAGGGGCCTCTTCGTCTTCCTCGAAGAGATCTTCGGGCACTTCATGACCCAGGGCCAGGAGATCCACCTGCACAATCAATAAAAGCCTGTATAAACAGGCTCCCCATAGTGAGCAATATGCTCTCGGTATGACAACCGTATGCGCGAGAAAATGGCCTTTGAACTCGCCGATATCTCACACCATGCGCAAGCGCGAGCTGCATTTGGTGAAGATAACGCCGGCAAGAAAAAAAAGCATAGCTGAGCATCGAAGTGAGGATTCGAAATCCAAATAGTAATGGACTTGCGCTTTTCTCCGGATAAAGGACTCGGGGCACGTAGAGTGGCCAATTTGTTAATAAATTGGCATAGAAACGGTATTGGTATGCAATTCTGTGTCTTTGCCTCTACATGCTCTCGTTGGAACAGCGGCTGAGCTGGGGTGTCGAACGGCTGGAATCGACGTGGAAAGGAAGTGATGGCATTTCCAATGATGGTGTGGTGATGAAGGTGATGATGAAGGTGGTGCTAGTATCCATAGATGGATGCATCAGCAATGCTGATATACTGCATCCGCATTGAAGCTTTTCGCACAATCCTGCTCAGGATGGCTCCGCACTGGAAACTGTCATCCATTCATAGGATTCTCTGAGTTGAGAATCTATAGACTGCTTTGATGCAGTCTTCGAAATTGCCGCAGCAACTAACATCTCAGTCGCGAGATTTCGAATTGCCTTTCTGGTGGCACGGCACGTCTTGGGACGGCATTTCTAGTCTGATGTTTCTGCGGTCTAATTATTAGTCAGAGACACTTTGCTCGTCGAATCTCGCCATTCTCAACTTTGCTTGAGTAACAGGATAGCCAGTTTCAGGTGGACCTTAACTTACAGAAATGTGATTGCCAGCGCTTTTCTCCCTTGGCAGAGATAGCTTTCCAAAAGAGTATATGGTATAAAGAGAGGAAGAATTAGATAAAGCGAGAGACTGAAACTGGAAGAAGGGATTGTTTGGTATGTGAGTACGCGTAGGAGTGGGAGTGGGAGTAAACAGGAAGAGGAAGAGGAAGGAGGAGGAGGAGAATAGGGTCCATAGCCATCAACCAGGTCAATTGTGGTCAGCGAATCCAAAGATCTAAACCAAGATTGAATGATGCCGGCTGAGACGTATGGTCAATGAATGATTGAAGTAGCTAGCTTTGCAGACAGCAGCCCTGGAAAACCTTTGCGTCATTGAATGTGCTACGCATGGCCAATTGATTCACTGGCTCTTTGTCCGCGATTAACTCCAGAAGGTATCGATCCTGGTGAAACCGACATTGTAGATTGAATAGTCGGAAGTCTCATGAGGATGTTCGCTCGGTAGTAATGCATCAAGGCATATCCTAGCTTTTGGTCTCTTTGAATGAGAAGCTGTCCCTAGCCGCATGCTAGATCCCAGTTCCCCATGAAGGGGCGTATGCTGAGCCCTTGGAAAAGGTAGACATCAGCAGTGGCCGTCTAAGATGGCATAATCCGATTGATAAGGATTTCATGCAATGAGTATAGTGGGTGTCGGACGGGGTGATACATCAATTACCACGAGTATATCCTGGAGCTTGGAAGTAGCATTTTCACCGAGCAGGCAGACAGGAGGCATATCATAGATTATTGGGATTCCCATATCTAGAGTACGGCTTTCCATCCAAGACGAAATGCCTTGGCTATGCTATAGCAGCATAAATATCAGATTCTAGAGTTGTAATGTGGATCTGTTCCGATGGCATGCATAGACCCAGCGGGAGACTGCACATATCCAGGAATCTTGATCATAGCGATAGAGGCAAAATCCGCTGAAATACGCCCGACCTTACTCAGTAGTCTGAGAAGAGAACCTTAAGACGTCAAGCTTAGGATTATTAAGTGCAAAGAGATGATGCGCTGAAGGTCCAAGATCTACTAGATTTGAAGAGGGGGAAAGGGGGGGGGGCAGAATGCTGAAGGCGGGCCTGACCGCCTTCAGCTGCCCTACCTCGATGTCGAGATAACCTCACAATACGTGATATCAGAATCAACATCCCGTCGATATTTCGACCACGTACACACTATTCTGAACATATTACGAGCAGCAAATCACGCGGGAAGGTAGTGTTTAAGCCATTAAACCAGGTTTTGAATTCGTATGACCGTGACTTCTATGAACATTAAAGCATAAGCAAAAAAGCTATGTAGCCTCGTAATCGACCCCTTTTTGACATTTTAAACGCATTTAAAAGTCCTCATCGTCAGAAACCTCTTCACCCCGCTTTTTACGTGCAATTCTCTCTTTACGCTTCTTTCGTAATTCGCTAGAAGTGAGCTTCTTCTTCTTCTCAACGACAGTCTGAAGTCAAAGTTAGCATCAGGGGTCATCAAGATATCGGATACATCCGGGGGGGAGGGGGTGGGGGCGGCGGAAAGCCGAGAGCGGAAAGAGGAGGGAATAGCATACCTTGTTGCCCATGGCATCGACGATCTCAGTGTCGCCGGCGTTCTTATCCTCCAGACGGGGACCGGAACCCTGACCCTGAACCCAGTTGTGGCCGGAGGGGGTCATCTTACCGTCGACGACGGCCCAGACTTCCTCAGTCAGGTTCTCAGTGAACTCACGGGAGTGAGTGATGATGATAACACCACCCTCGAAGGTCTTGATGGCCTTAGACAGGGCACCGAGAGAGTCACGGTCCAGGTAGTTGGTGGGCTCGTCCAGGACGATGACGTGGGGGCGCTGCCACGAGCAGGCGGCCAGGACGACCTTGACACGCTGACCACCGGAAAGACCGCGCATGCGGGAGTGAGAGACAAGCTCGGCGTCGAGACCGAAGTTCTCGCAGTGCTGCTCGATCTCCTTGCGGACCAGGGGACGGAACTGACCGCTGGCGAGGGCCTCCTTCTGATCGACCTCGGCGACCATCTTGGCGTGGGACTGCATGATCTCGGAACGGGGAATCCAGGCGTTGTCGGTGGACATCATGGGGGTCCAGCGCTCGGACTTCATGCCGATGTTGTCACCCAGGGCGAACGAACACTCGTACTCGTAGCTGTTCTTGAACTTTCTACGGGCGTGGATACCAATGACGCGACGGAAGGTACCCTCGATCTTGTAGATCTTGTCCATGGCCTTCTCGTCCTCCTCGGTGACGATCTTGTTGGCACGGTCCATGGTCTCACGGTCCTCACCGGTCTGGAAACGCCACTGGATGTACTCGGAGGGAGTCTTGTCGAGGTGGTTATCGATGTGGGCGAAAGCGTGCTGCTTAATGTAGGCGATACGGATGTTCTCGTGCTGGTAGACGTCACCGGAGGTGGGGATCAACTCACCGGTCAGGACGTTGACCAGGGTGGATTTACCGGCACCGTTGGGACCGATGACGGCAATACGGGAGCCCAGGGAGACCTGGAAGGTGATGTCGGTGATCTGGGGCTTGGGGGTGTTGGGGTACTGGAAGGTCATGTTGTTGACACGGATGATGGCCTTGGCCTTGGTCTTGACACCCTCAAGGAAACCGGGCTCGGGGAACTTGAACTCGATCTCGGAGGCACCGAGCTCGTAGTAGGAGCGAGCGGCAGGGACACGCTTGACGAACTCGCTCAGGTTACCACGGTAACGCTTGAGCTTGAAGCGCTCGTAGTGGACGACGTGCTGGATGACGTTGTCCAAGAACTTGCTGTCGTGGGAAACGATGATGGACGTGCAGGGGGAGGTGCAGAGGTAGTTCTCCAACCAGGCGACGTTCTTGACGTCCAAGTGGTTGGTAGGCTCATCCAGCAGAAGGATATCGGGGTCCTCGAAGACGGCACGGGCAAGAGCCAGCTTCATCTTCCAACCACCGGAAAGGGAGGTGATAGGGCCCTCGAGCTGCTCCTTGAGGAAACCGAACTCCAGAAGCTTGGCCTCGACTTCGGACTGAGGGATCTCAAGACCGACCTCGCGGAGCTTCTTCATGGTCCAGCCAATGACAGTCTGCTCAGTATCGGCAGCGTCCAAGTCGTGCTCGACGTAGACGGTCTTGACCTCGGACTTCTTGGGGAAACCCTCGAGCTGCTCGTTGTTGATGGCGCGCATAAGAGTGGTCTTACCGGTACCGTTGGGACCGAGGAGACCGTAACGCTGACCACGCTTGAGGCGGAGGTTGGTCTGGTTGAGCAGGATCTTGGCACCGTAGGCCAGGGAGAAAGTGCAGTTACACAGATCCTCACCCTCCTCCTCATCGGAGAGAACGGCATCAGCCTCAGCAGCGAGGGGAGAAGCCTTCTTGCGGAGGGTCTCGACAACGCTCTTGGCATCCTCCTCACCGACGATGGCGGCGATGTAGGGCTGGGCGTTCTGGGTCCAGCTGGTGACCTCAGCGTCCTTCTCGTCAACGAGCTGACCGGCAACGGCACCGACGTAGTTGATGACAGCCTCAGCGCCCTCGGCCTGGGTGGTGTGCTTCTCCTTGAGGATGTCCTTGAGAATAGCAGCGACGGTGGAGATGTCACCGGCGGTGGAGATCTCAGGGATCTTGCCGTCCTTGACATCACCGACACGGGTAAGAGTCTCCAAGGCCTGCTTGGTCTTGCCACGGGCCTCAGGGTCGGCCAGGGTCTCGAAGTTCTTCTCGAGACGGGGCATCAACTTGGGCAAGAAAGGAGCGACGATCTGGGGATCCTCGACCAGCTTACACATGTTGTCGACGATGACAGCGGACTTACGCTTGATGGCGGTCTCACGCTCAACAAGACCACGGTCAAGCAGGGGGACCATGATAGCGAGGGTAGGTCCGGTGACATCGGAGACGAAAGTGGTGGCACCGAGCAAGTGAACGGTTTCAGAGACGTTCTCAGGCTTGGCGATACACTTGATGAGCTCAGGAATGAAACGCTCGATATCCTTGTTGACAATGAGACCGCAGACCTTCTCCATGGTGCCGTAGGCGGCCTTCTTGATCTCAGCCTTGGTGTCCCACATGGCCTCGGAGACGACGGGGATCAGGTCAGGAACACGGAAAGAGAGCTGAGCGGGGGCAGACTCGACGAGAGCCTCAATGCACTCGAGAGCGGTGGCCTTCTCTTGCCACTTCTGGGCGTTCTGGAGGGAGTTGAGGATGGGGGGGAGGACGGCCTTGACAGCGTTGCCGTTGATGCCCTTGACGATGGCGATAGCGGCAGCGGAGGCAGCGTTCTTGACGGGAACCATCTTGTCACCGACGGTAGCGAGGACGTCACCGAGGATGGCGACAAGGTGGGGCTCGACACCAGGAGCGATGGTGGAGTGGGAAGCAATGGCGCGGATGGCATTGCAGGCACGCTCACGGGCGTTGGCATCCTTCTTGTTGGCGAGCTGCTTCTTGAAAGCCTCGACAGCCCTAAGTCCGGGTGGTTAGTCTCGTTCTCCCGTCTGCAGAATTTTTCGGTCTAACTCGAATGACCAGACCACGCAATGATGACGACGACGATGATACTCACTTCAGGGGCAGAACCTGCTCGGGGATGGGACCGCTGAACAGGTGAGCCAGGTTGTCGGTGGCAGCGTTGACCTCATCCTGGGAGGTGGAGAGGTTGAGGTTCTTGAGAAGGTCCTCGAGAACAGCCACGGACTGGGCAGTCTCCTTGCTGGTGGCAGCAGGAAGGGAAGAAGCGTCAGCAGCAGGCATTTTGGTCGTAAAAGGTTCCGAAGAATCGTAAGAGAAAAAAGGATAAAAAGCGAGAACGTGTGAAAAAACGTTCTAGGGTATCTCGAGAAGAGGAGGTGGTGGCCCACGAAAGATTGCGTCTGATTCACAAAAGACGCAACGCACGCTCTAAAACGGCCTCTATTTTTGTTTGTCCAACAAAGACAAAGGAGAAAAACACAAGAATTTTTAGAGGAACAAAACCTCTTTTGAAAAAAAGGGAGAGATGGAGGATGAGGGGAGAGAGAGGGAGAGAGAGAAGGAGGGAAAGGAGGGGAACAGGGTAGATTGGGGGGGTATGATATTTATCGCTTTGTGGCCTTTTTTTCGCCGCCCAACACCCGCTCAGCCATTAAAAAATTTAAAGAAAAATTTTTTCTTGTTCCTTAGAATGGGTCGCACTAGCGCCGGATATAGTTTAGGGTCAGTTTCGATAGGACTCAGCGACTCAGCAGCAGCCAACCCACTGGAGTCTGTGGCTACGACCGTGGTCAATCGACAACCCTCAATGGCTGGCCGGCGGGGGCGGCAGTGGCTGAGTCAGCCATTTCCCTGCCAACTTTCTCCTTCCCCCCACCCATTGATTCCACTTCCATATGTAAGATTCTTGCTCTGGCTCTGGTTCTGGCTCTTGCTGTTGCATCCTTTGAGTCTCTTTGCTATTGTCCGCCATCGATCCATCTATCGCCTCCTTCCTTCTCAACGGGATCCCGAAGTTTGCCTTCCGCAATTACTCATACTCATGTATACAACGAATTCTGACCGATAATTCTAACTAGTCGTCACTAGTGATGAATAAGTGACAGCAAGAAACTACCAAACTCGGACTCGACTACCAGCCAACCCCACCGCAAGCACGTATCCTCATTATTTGATTCCACAAATATACGGATGTTATACAAGACCCTCGACAGGGCTGAGAATCGCGGCTCATCACGATATCCGACCCATCCTGATCATCTGCCCAGTTGTTCATGTTTGCAAGTCACTGCAATTAATCCAGCGGTATAAGGAGGGCAGGCGGCCTTAGCGCATCCCTCATACATAGTACATGTAGAAGAAAGCATAAACCCCCTCCCCGCCTCCCCTCCCTTCATGGATACTATCAAAAAGTCAAGTTCATCCCCTTCCCAGTGATGATTCCGGGGTGCAGCAATCAGTTCCTTCAAAGCTGATACGTAGCGCGCATTGCGGAACGGCTGTAGGTGGTTCTCCGCCGCCGCCGTCGCCGCCCTCTGCTTGCCTGGTTGGGGTCCTGCAGATGCTGCTGCTCCGAGGTCTATTTTCAGTTGCCACCCTCAGATCATTCCCGGTGGCGCAGCCCCCCATTCTAGACGGCGACGGCTCAATGGTCTTTCTTCTAAGCGGTGGCCGGGAAGAAGAAAAGAAGGTTAAGAGATTTGGGAAATGACACAACACACAGCGCAAAAAAAAAAAAAAAAAAAAAAAAAAAAAAAAAAAAAACTCTGAAACATTAGAGTTGAGATGCACCCGTGGTTAGAGGCGGAAATCCGTTTTCGTGGTGTGCTTGCTCCACGACGCCATCGCGATGACTGCTTCGTTGGCACATACCCAATCTCTGCTGGACAAATATGTTTGCTCCGCCTTAAGCGAAATACATACATAGGAGGAGGATTTTGTACAATCTTGAACTGAACCAAGTTTGACAATTGAGGGGCATCTGGAGGTCAGCCTGATGCTTACTCAGACGTTGATACTCGATTGATTTTCATGTGACAGAAGCGTGCTGTTGAAAGAGCCCTAAATCTACAATCTCACCCCGGATATTTACTGCCCTTGCCAACCGTTAGAAAGTCCAGAATGGGCATCATCCCTAAAATACGAGGAATCAAAGAAAATCAACCAGGGATAGACATATTCCCTGGCTGCTGCAACCCTTGTCTGAGACAAATGAACGCTGATGGGCGAGATGCACAACACCGCCATTTGCTGGGCTTGGGGCATCCAACTCACCGCATGAACTGTGCAGGGTTGCCCTTACTACTTTAGGTACGGTACATATAGCAGTCTACGTGCTCGGCTCGGAGTAGGTGGTTTCCACACCTACATAGCTTAGCCCTGCGGGGGTTCCCTTATCATGCTTATCGGCCATCAGAAATAAAGTTCCTGTCGCTTTCTTCTCCGGATTCTCCATTATGGGGGAGCTTGCTATAACGAACTGATAATTAGAGAATGCCCCTTCATTTCATTATAGCAAGGCATTCGTTCTGTAAAGGTTACTTTGTACGTGTGTAGACAATAAAATGTGAAAAACAAGTTCGTTTACTGGAACAAACTGTTGTAGCGACGTTCGGTATAATGTGTCTCTACGCCTCTGAGACTGTTCAACGGACTATAAACATCGCAACCAGAGCAGCAGCCGTCATGCTGCGTCTTGCAATGCACGATGAAGCCGTGCACTCGCCATAACTAGGGCAAGGGTCATCACGGGACAATGCTCCTTAGGGAACGTCGTTGGTTTTATTCAGATGTAATAGAAGATGCCCGATAGTATTTCCATGCAGTCATACCACGCATAACTCAAGCCAACCAACACATGTCCACGTGTCCTGAATGAATCAATGTTCCTATAAGCAGTCCACTATACCACCTATACAAGAAGCGCTAAACTCTAATGAATACTACCCCCAAATCACGTCCGCCCGAAACAAATCTCATTCGCAGCCCTCACCACCGCCTTCTCGCCCTCACTCATATCTGCCGTCACCTCCCAAGGACTTTCACCCAGACCCATCGCCCTTCGACCCTCGGGACTGATAGTCTCCCAGTCTAGAGCCCCCTTGAAGCCCGCCTCACCCGCGCCGCCAGCTCCAGGGAAATCCCACGGCGGGGAGTATGACAGCGCCGCCTGCCGCTGCTTGACCAGATACGCGACGTTCATCTCACACATGGGCGTGGCAGGGATGTACATGACGCTGGAGTCGCCGGACCCGCGATGCTCCCTGTCGACCGAGTGCAGCGAATCACAGTGCCAGGCGACGTAGTCGCCCGGCTGGACCTCCGGGACCGAGACCATGGTGGTCTCGAGGGCGAGGTGCGGGTGGGTGAGCGGGTTGTACTCCTGACACGCGCCCGGCACGGAGCCGGGGAAGGCGTTGTCGAGCATGGGCTGGCCGGTCTTGCCATCGAAGAAGGGCCGGAGGATGGTGTAGGCGGAGCTGTGGCGCAGCATGGGGCAGACGTGCAGGGAGCCCTCGCCCGGCGCGGTGTGCGACATGGAGAGCCAGCCCTGGAAGAAGCGCAGCATCGAGCAGGCGCCGGCGCCGTTGTAGAGGTCCATGCGGGCGGCGACGCGGTGCCTGGCGTCCCAGGGGTCGTACTCCTCCCACCGGCCGGCCAGGATGGGCGCGTAGACGCGCGCGTACTCTGGGTCCTCCCAGCGCTCGAGCGAGCCGCCGTCGATGTGCGGGCCCAGCGTGAACTTGGCGTCGCCGGGCTGGCGGATGCGCAGCCGGTCCGCGTAGGTGAGCGGGTTGCGGGTCGAGATGCGCGTGCTCGCGTCCGACGAGTGCCACAGTTGCTGGAGGAAGCGCTGCGTCGTGAGCAGGTGGGCGTCGCTGCGCGCCGCCGCTTGCGACGGCGTCCAGTACAGCTCGTACACCGCGGGTGAGTCGGCGGGGAAGGCTTTCACGCGCTCTTGGTTGGCCGCGATGTACTCTTGGATCTGCGTCTTCCAGGTTAGGGCTTGCGAGCGCGGGACGACCTCCCGGATGACTACGGAGCCACGGTGCCGGATCTCGGCGAGAGTGGACTCGGGAACGGTGCCGTTGACGACATCGGTGTATCTAACGGAAGGGATAATCTGGATCCAGGCGTTAGGTTTTCCATAAGGGGGGATATGTAGGAGATGTATGCATGCATAGAACGTACGTCGCTGCCCTTCGACTTGATCTTGTGAACTTCTTCCTCGAGACTGGAGAGAAGTCGCTTCCAGCTTTCCTTCAATGCTTCTTCATTCTTCTCAAAGTATTGGAGTTTTAGATCGCGGAACCGCGAGGGCAAGGGCTCTGGTTTGTAGTCGGGCCGCAAGCTGGGGAACACACTGGAGATGTCGCCCGCGGCCTTGGTCATCGGCGATGCTGAGGTCGATGTCGATGCGGCGCGGGCGGTTGCCCTGGCTGTTAATCTCGATAATGTCATTTTGACCAGTAGCTTGCGTAGCTATTAGACCTCTGGGAATCGGGATAGCCCCAATGGCCAATGGCCTCTGCGGAGTATCTTATACCCCATGGGCAATTGTCGGGAAGCCCAAACCAGCGAGCGGGCCGGTTACTGCTTTGAGTAAGTTGCCGACGCCCCGCGTTCGAAGCGAGTTGAAATGGGGTATCACTGCGTCACTGTCCACTGATCCAGTCATTTCTGTGCGAGGCGACTCGTAAAACTGCCGACTGGATCCATTATGTTCGGCAAGTCATTGCTTTCGAGTGGGAGGTGATGAGGGGTTGGTGGTAGCAGCTGTCTGTACGGTCGATGCTTAGGAGAAATGAGCAGGTATAGTGGCTGTTGCAGGACTCGACCAACTGGCACTGCACCTCGATGCGATACGGCGATAGTAGTGGACTTCCTCCGACTGTGCTCCATCTGTCCGCGATAGTATTCCCCAGAGTACGGGCGAAGAACCATACAAACTTGGAATGGCTCGAGTTCCTACGCATTGTGGCATAATCTTCGGTGTGACCACGATGAACTCTTCCAACTTTTGAACTCGAGGGCATTGTGTCACCATGGCGAGGAATGGCAGTTGTCTAACCCACCTACAATCTATGAATGGGCGAAGGGAACCATGATAAGGAGAAGTGAGTGCAACTGCAGAAATTGGGTGTATATGCTGCTATGCTCTGTTGTACAACGCTGTACAAAGCCGGCTAGTGAGTGCGTCGTAAGGTGCGTGTGTATAGGGCTGCCCTCATTCATTTGGCAACGCCTCATGAATGCAGAGATCGAGGGCTGGGATCACCAACTGCCCCCGTGACGCAATCGGTAGCGTGCAAGCCTTCTAAGCTTGAAGTTGCGAGTTCGAGCCTCGCCGGGGGCTGTTATTTTGGTTGTTTGTTGTGTGAAGGATAGTGATAGTAATGAGCCTTTTTCTTTTTGCTTCGCTTAGAATTTTGTCCAACTTTAAATCTCAGATTTCGCAAACCTAATTGCCATCCTATCATGATGGATATCCTACGATGAGAAATCCCAAATGATGACCAAGCTTAGTGTAGGATCATATAACTAATAGAGCTGGCCCTTTCACAACAACAGCCCCCGTGACGCAATGGTAGCGTGCCAGACTTCTAATCTGGAAGTTGCGAGTTCGAGCCTCGCCGGGGGCTTCTCTTGTACCTTTTTGGTACCTGTCCTATCATCATGGTCATCTTATCCCACATGCTATGAATCCTAGGCTTCATAGATGTGATCCCTCCCTCTCTTTTCTTTTTTTGTTTTCAAGTTATCGTTGCTCACGGGACGGTCTTGTGCAACCATGGCTGAACATCCATTCGCGCGAAGGCTATACTGACCACGCTCTTCCACTTAACCCAACGCACCATGATACACGATACTCACTCTTGCGGACCACCAGACCCAGTCGATTTCCCCTCATCGGTCTTTGTCCGGGTCCAGGTCAGCTTCGTCGAATCTCCTTCCCTCGGTCCACAATGTTGAATGCGGGTAACAACACCCCGAACCTTCGGATTGATACTGCCCGAACGAGGTATAAAGAAGACAAAAGTCCATGTGGCACGGCGATAATAGCGCCCATTTCTGTCGCTTCTATCACCAACTTCAATACACTATGTCCTTCTCTGTGAAGGGACGCTCTGCCATCGTCACGGGAGCAGGCTCCGGTGCGTCAACACTCCTTCACTAATTCCAGGCGGCTGCTACGCGAATAAAGGCATGTCACTGATATATCTAATGTAGGAATTAACCTCTCCTTTGCGAAAATTCTACTTGAGAATGGGTGCGGCGTTCTCATTGCCGACCTAGGGCTGCGCCCCGAAGCACAGTCGCTGGTGAATCAGTACGCGGCCTCCTCCAATGGGCCCCGTGCTGTCTTCCAGAAGACCGACGTGACCGACTGGAAGCAACTGGAGCATATGTTTGAAGTAGCAGAGAAGGAATTCGGGGAAGTGGACATCGTCTGCCCCGGGGCAGGGATCTACGAGCCTGTATGTGCACCCCGTAAAAACCCCCGAAGAAGCAAGGGATGTTTAGCTTATGGCCTGTCTCGCATGCAGCATTGGACCAACTTTTGGCGACCCCCGGGAACGCCAGAGAGTCGAGATCCACGAGATGGGGGCCGGTACGCCTTGCTCGATATCAACCTGACACATCCCATCCGCACGACGCAGCTAGCCATCGCGCACTTCCTCCGCAAGGGCAGCACCAGCAGCAACCAACGCCGCAAACACATCGTTCACATTTCCAGCATTGCCGGGCAGAATCCTGCTCTGGCAACCCCAATCTACGTAGCCACCAAGCATGCGATCAATGGCCTGGTCCGGTCCCTGGCCAAGCTCGACCAGAAATGCGGGATCCGCGTCACGGCGGTGGCTCCCGGGGTGATCAAGACGCCGCTCTGGACGGACCACCCCGAAAAGATCAAGATCGTCGACGCCAAAGCCGATGAGTGGGTGACCCCCGAGGAAGTGGCTCAGGTCATGCTGGCGCTGATCCAGCAAGATCATGTTGGCGAGATCATTGGGGATCAGACAGGTCAGGGTCCTCAGTTTATGGTTAGTGGAGGAACGATTCTGGAGGTCTCCAAGACCGTGCGTTCGGTTAGTGCCTTTAATGATCCCGGCCCCGGTCAGCGGCCCGGAAATACGGTGTCGGACGCCAATAAGCTGGAGGATGAGGTATATGATTTGCTGTCGCAGCAGGATTGGGGAAAGCCGAAGCTGTAGATTTTATTTTCATTGCTGTAGGGAAGTAGTCATAGTGAGATTGTGCTGCCAACGAAGAATGAAAAAAAAAAATGAAATAAAAAATGAAAAAAAGAGTATCAAGTGGATCTATTATAAGTCTATGTCCATCGCATTTCTTAACCCATTTGAGATAAAAGAGGGGAAGGAGGGAAAAAGGCGGAGAAGAGCGGCAAGGGAAGGTGTCTGACTAAGGAAGCTAAATTGGGAAAGATACGAAGGAACCGTGACCATGACCGACCACAATCCAATCTCTCTCCCTCCAACTTATCTCCGCCCCTCTTGACTCGTTCGTTACTCTCCTCGCTCCTCTCCCTCCCTCGTCTTTCACCCTTACTCTGTAACTCGTGGTTTATTTCAAGAACACCACCTCGACACTCTTGTCCTCCCCTTTTCCCTCTCTCTTCTTCTCTCCTGCCTGCTGTCGCAAGTTCAAGTGGCCTTGGACCTCATAGTATGCCGGGTTGACCCACCCCGGAATTCTCCTGTCGTGTGGCCACCTCTTATCAATCAATCACTTTCTCACTAAACCTCAACTTGTGCCGCCAACATGATGGACGATGAGGCTTCCATTGGGGTGGTTTCACCCAGAAGTACGTCTCGAAGGTAGAAACTCCCTTTTTCTCCGCACCTGCTTTTTTCTCCGGCGCTTCTTATCGCTGACGGTTTATTGTTGCAGGCGTGGCGGGAGAGGGAAACGAAGCGCCGGACACCATGGCGACGCCAGTTGGATTAGTTGCGTGATCAATCTGGTCAACACTAGTGAGTTGGAACAATCCGCAATCAATGGATTCTCTATATTGGCGTTTTTTTCTGATGGGATAAATTCCGGTAGTCATTGGCGCCGGTGTCCTAGCCATGCCACTCGCGATCTCGCACATGGGCATCGTACTCGGTGTCTTTGTCATTTTATGGTCGGGAATGGCAGCAGGATTCGGTCTATATCTTCAGTCTCAATGTGCACGATACCTGGAGCGTGGAACCGCTTCGTTCTTCGCCTTGTCGCAGCTCACATACCCCAATGCGGCCGTTATCTTCGATGCCGCGATCGCGATTAAATGCTTTGGAGTCGGAGTCAGCTATCTTATCATTATCGGAGATCTGATGCCGGGGGTGGTTCAGGGTTTCGTGGGGGGTTCTCCGGATTACGACTTTCTGGTAGACCGTCATTTTTGGGTAACAGCCTTCATGTACGTCTCCCCATGGGGATTAATACTGGGACTATCCTAATGTGTCCTACTTTTTCAGGTTGATTGTCATTCCTCTCTCCTACCTCCGACGCTTGGACTCGCTCAAATATACGAGTATTGCCGCACTCGTCTCCATGGCATATTTGGTTGTATTGGTAGTCTACCATTTCGTGATCGGAGACACAACCACTGATCGGGGTCCTATTCGCGTGATACACTGGGCAGGCCCTGTTCCCACGCTCAGCAGCCTTCCTGTCATTGTCTTTGCCTTTACATGCCATCAAAATGTATGATGCCTTCCAGCGTGATGCTTCATTAGAGCATTGCTGACTAGTGCAACAGATGTTCTCGATCTTGAACGAGATCAGCAACAACAGCCATTTCCGAACTACCGGAGTCGTCTTCTCTAGCATCGGTAGCGCCGCTGCGACTTATATTCTTGTGGCTATCACCGGCTACCTTTCGTTTGGAAACAGCGTTGCTGGGAACATCGTTGGCATGTACCCGCCAGGCCTCTATGCTACGATCGGCCGTGCCGCCATTGTCATGCTTGTCATGTTTTCCTATCCGCTCCAATGCCACCCGTGTCGGGCGTCTGTCGATGCGGTACTGCGCTGGAGACCCAAGCCCGCGGGCTCCAGTGACAGCTCGCCCCACCGGCATCCACTTTTGGGGTCGAGAGGCAACCGTGCCCCTGAGCCAATGAGTGACCTCCGATTCTCCATCATCACCACCACCATTCTCGTGTTGAGCTACATCGTTGCCATGACCGTGTCATCGCTCGAAGCCGTGCTTGCTTATGTCGGCAGCACCGGCAGTACCAGCATCAGTTTTATTCTTCCAGGTCTATTCTACTACAAGATCTCTTCTCCTGACTCGCCGCACCATCAACGCTTGATGAAGGAAGACGACGAGGCGGGCGATGCGATCATGTCTGACGGCAATGATGACGATGAGGACATCGAGACCTCGCAAACCCGTCCGCTGACGGAGAGTGGTATCCTTCGCCGCGGCACTCGTCAATGGCGCAGAGCACTATTGCGCAAGCTGAGTCTGGGTCTTGTGATCTACGGAGTCCTGGTCATGGTCGTGTGTCTTATCACGAATTCAGTCTTTCTTGCCTCTCATTAGCACTCAAGGCAGGCCTACGCAGAGCCAAGCTAGGCTTGACTTTGGATTCCCTTTCATCCTCTACCAACCTCTGTCAATCTTTTCTCTCTTTCCCTTACTTAATTTCTTCCCTTTTCCTATTTTATCTCAATTTCAATCTCAGTTCCATTTGGTTTTTTTTGTCTTCCATTACCCCCCCCCCCCCCCCCCCCTTATCCCCCATTTTCCTTCCGCATTGCGTGCAGGTTTATTAGAGCTGGGGTCTTGATTCAGGATTACAGTTGATTGGAACTATATCACTATACCACGGCACCGGCGTTTCAGGGGAACTCTTGTCTCTTGTTCATGCGTTTGTTAGACATCTACGCATTTTCTTTTATTTGAATTGATTTCCATTGGGATATACCAGAGTCGGGATCGGGATTTTAACTCAGAGAATCAGAAATACACATACAAAACAATCAATTCAGAGTTCGCAGATGGTTACTTTTTTTTTGTCTTCACTTATGACCATTGAGTTCATCCTTGCCCCCCCCCTTTTAGGGGATCCCTCTCCCACTGCATCTCCCTGTAGACTCCAGATTAGAAGTGGGACTTGACAACCCAATGCATGAAGTAGAACAAGGTCAGCGACTACCTAACCCTTCCTGGACACTTAGAATACAACAGCTTGGCTCCGAGACCCACTTGGGGAAGCAACTAAACCAATAACCAAGCAATTTAATTGGATCTGTTCTAAATACTTACTAATCCCACAAGTATAACTATGCTCTCTCTTCAATATGGATAGATACTGTCTTTTCTGACTGTACCATTCGCATCCCTGATTTGCCTAGGTAGGTACTGTACCAACAGACCGTGGAGTCGCGCGTTGCTTCTATTGTAAAACAGCTCCATACAAACACCCGTCTTCGACAAACCTTTTGTTTAAAGGGCGACATCACTTTCGAAATCACGCCAATACTTTGACTGACGATCCGAATATAGTTGGTTCTCTGAGCCTGTCCCAAAGACCACCACGTCGGTCCGACCGCTTAGCTGCGAAATCCAGGGCTGATCCCTCAGCACAGCCGCTCCGGGAAGGCCAGAAAGATACACGGACTTCTCGACCTCGAGCAGATCAGTTCTGTGTGTACAACAAGGGCCCGGAAGAGAAGATTCCGGCCTTTATCGTTGAATACAAAGCACCCCACAAGGTTTCTCTAGCTCACATCAAGGCTGGCCTGCAAGATATGGACCTTGATGAAGTCCTTCGTCTGCCAAAGGAGTCACCGGAGCAAACCTGCCGTCGCATTGTGGCATCAATCATCACTCAAACATCCTCCTATATGATTCTTTGTGGGGTAGAGTTCGGCCTGGCCTCTACTGGTGAGGCGTATATATATCTTCGCATCCCGGAAAACGACCCCTCTACCGTTTACTACTACCTTTCCGTGCCGAAGGAGGACGTCGGACCGACTACAGGATGGACAGGAGATCTAAAGGACAATAATAGACTGCATCTAAATGCGGTGGGCCAAATGTCGGCTCCTACTGTTCGCTCTTTGCAAGTGCCAGTCCGAGATGTGGCTTGGGTTACTTGGACATCAAGTACATTACAGATCTGAGAGATGGTATATGATGAGATTCTAGAGGAGGACAGCTCTGCTTCTGAGTTTAAACCACCGTCTCGAAGTCGTTTGGAATACCGCCGTGTATCCCCCGTCAAAACCAGATCCAGATTTGCGGTTGTTGCGGCCTGCAGGCCTTCGACACTCATGATGGCTATGATCCCGACACGCCTAGTCGACGGCAACCTCGAGGGTCCCGTCTTCCTCCCCCATCTTCACCGACCGTACAGAAAACGCAAACCTCACGCTCCCAAGGCAAGTCACGGCAGTATTGCACACAAGTGTGCCTTCTAGGCCGGATTCGAGGTGGGAAAGTGGATCGCAACTGCCCAAATGTACTCGACCACGGGACTGATCACCATCGATTGAACCAGACCACGCTCATCCGACAGCTCAAACAGCAGCTCTCTCCCAAGAAACTACAGCCTGGTACAAGTTTGGGGTGCGAATCGCTGCACGTACACGGGAAGCGTGGGGCGCTCTTTAAAATCACTCTCTGGTCTCACGGGTATACGTTTGTCGGCAAAGGCGCACCGAGAGAATTTGTGGACGGCATCAAGCGCGAGAGGCTCACACGTATTCACGTCTTGCCCCAATCCAAGGGACGGTCGTGCCCGTCAGTTCCTTGGCAGCTTGGCACTTCGCCGCCCGCTCTCTTACGATGGCCTTGTTGAGATTGTTCATATGATGTTTATGGGAAATTGCTGGAAGGACTCTAGCCCGTCAGCATGCGCTCGATCGCTGCCAGATGATCCAACAAGCCGAGAGAGACCTCACTGCCCAAACTCCATAGCTTAGGGGTGCTTCTATGGCGATCGATCCCATCCCGGGAAATATGACCGGGAACGAACACACCCGCTGCGTGATGTTCATCGACTTTGAGCGCTCCGTGGCTACAAGATCCACGCCAAATGCCACTGGGTCTCCGTGGGAATCCAACGCGCAAACGGGAGGAGGCCCCGCGGGCCCTTGGAGAAGAAGAGTCCAACCCACCCAGCTGGACTGTTTTGAGCGGGAGAAAAGGCGCATGGTCAACGGGCTATAATGATATGCGCTCCGTAGGCCCTTTCCTCATATACTCATTTGGAATGATTTTACTCCGTAGTCTGCTTTGGAGGGGGCAAAGAAGCCCTAGGTAATTCCCATCAATCCTCCCCGTGTGTGTGTGTGTGTGTGTGTGTGTGTGTGTGTGTATCTTTACACCGACAGCTCCTCTTGGATTCAATTCACAGCTGTGCGCAGATTTACCCCCCGGGTTTCGCTGTGGAGACATTGCTGGCAACTACTCCATCTCTCTTCCTATTATTGCACGTGAAGCTTAGTTCACTTATACCTGAACTGTCTATCTAAATAATCTATTAATAATGTTGATTTTACATTCCCACGAAAGAACAGCAACAATCGTAGGCCCACCAACCCCAACCCACCCCCTAAGAGGGGAAAACAGGTGAACGAAGTTCCTCTTTCCGGCATACACATCCATTGTCTCTTGGGGGCCCCAGTACAATTCGAAGCCGCGATATCCAAACCAGCTTGGGCTGAGAATTGAGATTGTTCTTTGCTCCGGCCCGCTCGCGCTCCAATTGCTCGAAGCGAAAGCCATGGTTTTATTTAGGTTGGTACATATCCGGGTTGCTCGCCAGGATTTTTTTCTCCGCGGATTTTCGTTTCTCGTATAGTATAAGTAACCCACACTCCCAAGGCATTGTTGTCTCCCCCCAGATTCCGTCGGTCGTTGTTATTTTGTAATCCAACAAGATCCTACCCGGGCACTATTTATCACGCTGTTGGCTGCAGATACTACACGTCTTGGCAAGTTGGGAGGTTGGAAGAAATCTACGTGTCCAAGGGAGGGAAGGTAACTCAAGAAGCACAACCTGGCCTGGCATTCTAGACCATATCTGATTTACAAATGTGAATTTAAAAAGGGGGAACCGGTACACATGACTTGAAGAGCAGAAAAATGCTGGGTGCATGTAAAAGAAACAAGACTGCTAATTCATGATTTCGAGATTGGGCGAACGCGGAAATGGACTGTGTCCAGAGCATGAGCCACTGGGGCAGAGATGGAATTAGGTAAGAGGTTTAGAGAAATACGACGGCGCAAGTCTGGTCGGGAAGAGACGGAAGGCAAACAACAAGATCAAGAAACTCCATGGATCGTTAATGTGATTTGGCAATCTTGTTTGGTATTGGTGTAATAGCTTTATGGTTTCTTTTCCTTGGTATTGTTTGGGGGTGATTCATGGAAGTGGGATTGAGGAACGGGAACAGGAACCGGAACCGGGGGGAGGGGGGAGGTAGTGATAAGTAGCTAGCTGTAGTAAGCCTAAGCCCAAGCCTAGAGAACCTGCTTGCGCGGATCAAGCCAGAACTCGACCCGAGCTTAGTTATTGCTCTGGCTGTTCAAGATGCGCAGGATGGCGAGGAACAAGTTCAAGATGTCGAGGTAGAGGGAGATGGAGGCGGCGATTTCCTCCTCGACGTGGTAGTGGCGCATAACGAGCTGGGTGTCGACGAGGATGTAGCCGGCGAAGACGAGGGCGGCGACGCCGCCGTAGACGAGCTCGACGGTGCTGTTGCCGGGGAAGAACATGGCCATGAAGCCGAAGAGGATCAAGAACCACAGCGCGCCGAACAGGTAGGGCATCCAGTGCGTGAAGTCGTACTTGGTCTGGCACGCGAACAGCGTCAGGGCGACGAACAGGCCCAGCGTGATCACCAGCGCCTGCAGCACGATCCGGCTCTCGTACAGCGAGGTCACCACGCTGATCGAGTAGGCCTCCATGATCGTGAAGCCCGACAGGAACAGCAAGTTGGCCGGGTACGACTTGCGCTTCCAGTAGGTCACCAGCATAAAGCCCAGCGCCCCGAACACCGACAGGATCATCACCCAGAAGTTGGACTGGATCCAGTTCCGGTAGCTGGGGCTGAAGAAGGAGATCGAGCTCATCACCGTCGTGAGGAGGAGTTGCACCGTCCTGAAGTTTTGAGAAAAGTGTTAGGTTCGTAAACACATACAGCTGGCTACACTCCGGTTCGAGGTATGTCGGGAGAGACACTCACAGAATCGCATAGACCTTGCGGATGAACTGCATACGAATGGGCAGGGTGCCCTCCGCCACAGTGCCGCCGAACTGCATCACATACTGTCAGTCTAGATCTAGAAGAGTGCGGGACGGAAGCTTTACCTTGAAGTCATCGGGAACATTATCGTCTTCGCTGCGAGGCGCCGCCTGCGTGTAATCGGCCGTTGCCTGATAAGAGGGCGGGGGCTGAGTGTAAGCACGCTCTTCAAAAGAGTCGCGCTGCGGCGCGGGCTCATATCTAGTATTGGCAGCCATATTTCTCTCAGGTTAGCTTCTATGGAGTAGTGGGAAGACCAATCCAGAGAGAACGAGATGGTTAATGCTTTAAATCTCACGGCTGACAGGTAGACGGGGGGGCGAAGTGAAGTGGAGAGAGAAGGGTCGAGAACGCGGGCGGAGATACCGCCTTTCGGGAGCCGCGTGACGTCGTTCCGTCACCTGATTCTCTTTATCGCTCTCCTAAGCCTTAGGCAGAACATTTACTCTTCAACTACAAGGCACGGATTCGCAGCATCGTAAAATATGATCATCTGTTATATGCGATATTATGTATAAATTCTATCCTCTAATATATGCCATGAATGCAGATATCCTATCGCTAGGACTTGAATGCGCGGCCCCGACCAGCTCAGAGGCTGTTACTCCTGGTCGTCGTCATCATCTCGATACTCCTCCACTATCACATTTCCACCCTCGGACGACGGCCGCGAGCCTTCTTCCTCATCTGTACTATCTTCCGGCGTATCCAGGCCCTCCCGGGTTATCGAAGCGCTATGCAACTCGCCAGGACGCCTCTTACGCTGGAAGTCTTGGGCGTGGGCCGCAGCCAACAAGGTACCAACCCGGGCAAGACCACGGGGGCTCCGGACAGACAAGCCTGGAGTGGGTGGGGTTCCTTGCTCGGCGTCGCCAATGGTAGGCACGGGCGCCAGAGGTTGATGGTCTTGAAGCTGCATAGCCTCCTCTGGCTGAGCCGACGGAGCCTGTGGTTTGGGAACTTCGTATGGGAGGGGAACATCCCTGGATGCTCGGAAGAGAAGAACGTTGGTGCAGTGTTCGTTCTCCACACGGAAGATCGTCCACACCCCTCTGCGGCCTACCTCTGAAAGTGCAACAGCGAAACTGAGGACAGCCGAATGCTGAATGTCTTTTCGGAAAATCGCATAGAAGATCCAGTTGAAGCGGACCACGACATCGATGACCATGCCAACATAATACACCCACGGCTTCCGGAAGGCGAGCACCTCGCGAAGCATTGGGTTCTTCGCGTGAGGGTTTCCGAGACTCCAATCCATGGCGAGATCCCAGACGGAGCAGTAGACAGCATTCAGCAACGCAAACGTGATGAACGGCGCCTCAAAGCTCGAGACCTTGTCGATACGGTAGAGACTCAGGGTACAATAGTAGAGGACAGTGAACATGTATTTGCCGAAGTTGAGCAAGTGAGGAAAGGCGTTCCTCGTGTCGGCATATCGACGTAAGCACTGAAGAGCTCTCCAGATTCCTGGAAGGCACGTGAAGAACCCCAGCAAGCGGGAGTGAGAGGAGTTACACTGCTGAGGGTCACTCCAATGTTTCGCATAGAGACAAAAGAACAATTCAATATTCTAAGATCGATCAACAACCACTGCCAGAGTTCATGCAACAATAGAGTGATACTCACGCCCATGGCGTACGTCTGCGAGCAGTACATATCACCGAGAAAGAAGTCGCGAAACTCGACGGGGTATAAACCAGCCAACAAAAGTCGCCACTACCATGCGTAGTTAGTTTCAGCTGCGGTATGTCAACTAGAGCACTACTCACATTGGAATATGCCCACCACTTTCGACTGTGGTGGTATAATGTGCGCACTGGCAAGAACAGAACTATCACCGTCACACCTATCAGAACGACAGGCCAATAGATATATGCGTCGTTGATCATCATGAAGTTCAGCCACATGAAGAGACCTAGTATGAACAAGAAGAAACTCGGTAACTGCAGTCGCGTCAATATCAGGCAATCCACATGACGAGATAGAAGTTCTGACCTCAGTTAACTGCCGCCAGTCTAATGCGTGTCTGGTGTCGAACTCGAAAACGAAGACGTAGTTTATCTTGGCCTTCGTCCAGACCATGCAGTCCAAGCAGAATAGGAGAAAATGCAGAACGATGAGGAAATAACCACCGTAGATCTATCGCTGTTAGATAACCCAAGAACTCGCGTACTGGGCATGCAAGACTAACCTGGAGCAAGTAGCTTGTATTCAGCTTCACGTCGGAATCGTCATTATCCAAGTTACGGCTAGCATAAACCAATGCCTGGGCTGCAAACAGGATGCCAGCCATCAACAGGAGACCAGAACGGAATGTGTTCGGCGAGTAGTCTCCAGCCTTGTTGACTGTATGGCGCAGCTTCGAGGCGGCAATCTTGCGGTTCCCGCGCTCAAAATAACGTGCGTAGAGGTCCTCTGCCGCCGACAACAAATGCTCCGTAACCTCACTCTGAACGAACCACGCCTTATTGACCTTCTCAGAGAGGTATCGCATCGGGGGGTGCGCATTGACAACCTTGTCATATTTCTTGTTAATTTTCCGGAAAGCGGTCCGGTTCAAATAGGCGTATGCCTTCAACAACTCCACGCCACGATAGAATTCTTGAAGCGCATGTTTAAGCTTTCTCTTGGCGGAGCGATACGGAACCTCGGCGTTGTTGGACTCTTCCGGCCGTCGTGCGAAATCTCTCCGCGTGATGGTGTTCGGTAGGTCTTGCGCTTGTCCGACCGGGGTTGCCAACTCTGCCAGGGCCTTCGAATTTTTCCCAAAATGACGTCCCGGGAAAGCATCCTTGATTTTGGCGAATCCGCCAAAGCCGTTTGCCTGCGCGTTGTCCTTCTTGATTCCACCGTTTTTCGTTTTCCCAAGCACTTCTTGGGTGCGCTGGTCCCGCATGATATGCAGCTGGCTTCGGAGCACCTTCAAACGCTCCGCCGCTTCTTGTTCTTTCATCTGATAGAACGAATCTATCTTGGCTAGCTCGCCATCAAGGAAAGCGAAGAACTCATCCTGCCGCTTGGCAATCTCCGATGTCGACGTATCAGTGGTGTCGCGCTTCTCGGGGGCATTCCAATCCTGGTAAGACAGCACCCGCTGCAGTAGGGAGCCTCTACGGTTCGACGGGCCTGCACCCGTGTTCCTCTTATAATCCTTTATACCACCGGCAGCGGGTTGTGGCGTCGAGGGGCTCCGGCGCGATCTGGCAGGCGTAGCTGGTCGCAAGCTATCGTATCGCGATAAAATCGGAGACGGGCTTTCGGGGCGGTGGTCGTCTGTATCATCCTCTCTTTCTGGCGACGAGAACTCAACCTCCTTAGGATCGATTGCTGGATCCGGCAACCGCAGCGAGGCCACATCCGACGAAGCAGCCTGCTGTGATGGCGGTGTGGCGACAATACTGCCATACGTGCCGACCACGCCCGAGAAGCGCGATCCAGGGGCCCGGAGGGGCTGACGTTCACTGCGCGCCGACGTTGAGCGCGGTGTCAAGCCATTACTTCGCACCGGCGTGGAGGGAACCTGGAGGGTGTCCTGGGGCAAATCGTGTCGGATTTCGCTTCGAAACGACGAGCGCGGATCCGAACTCAGCAGGCGATCGGACTGGTCATGTTGGGGGTAGGAGAAATTGCGGATGGACGGATGGCTAGGGCTGCGATTGGCTTTCTGTAGGGCGCGCGAGATGGCTTTGACTTTCTTTTTGCCGGTCTGTCGTCCCCCAGCGTCACACAATGATGAGAATCGGAACCACAAGCCCCCCGCGTATGGGAGCAAGCACTGGGGAAGCACCAACCTTGTAGTCGAGATATTTAGCTCGCCATTCTGGAACTAATTCCTGTTCCAGCTCCCTGTCGCCAATGACCGGGTCAGCAACGCCTCACAGAAAACAAGCATTCCGGAGCAATGGTGGGTTGGGTGAGAGTGGGACACACTTGGCGAATTTCATGCTGGGAAGGCAAAGGCATGAGCGAGCATAATACGGTTAACAGAAAAATTACAGCAGATACCCAGGAGGATTTATGACGCAGAAAGTGCCATCACAGTGGCAACAAGATGAAGCAGAAGAATGGTGGAGCAAGTTGACAGGGAATCTGGTCTCCGAGGATCAATCGATAAGGGCTCCAATAGTTCGTAGGCTTCGTAATCTCATTGCTCAGGGCGATGGGAAAGTAGCTCAAGACAACGATCAGTTCATTCTTGGGCCGAGAAGGTAGAACAAGCACACGATTCTCCAATATAGGACGAGGGGAAAGAGGAGAGGGGAGTAAAGAGACAGAGTAAAAGGGAAAAAAAATAGAAGATAGAAATAGAATGTCACAGTGGAACGGAGGGCGGAGGTAGAAGCAGATAAGAATGGAAGAAGGAAAATACGAGTAAGTTCAAATGTGGAAAAACCAGAAGTAAAAATGCGAGAAATAGGTCAAAAGCGAGACCAGAGGCAAGCTACCACAGGTTCACTAACGCCCGTCATAGCGAGACAACTGACAGACAGACAGACAGACAGACCGACAGAGAGCGAAGCGAGCAAGATACCTGATTTCATGGATCAAAATTGGTGAGGAACGAGTGAACCTTCTTTCTTGCCTGAATTGAGCGTCTATCGTAGCCTGATAGGCCCGGGTTTATGCACGTGCAGCAGCCGATGAGCTCATTTGCAGGAGCCTTGGCAGGGCGGTGAGTGGCCAACATAAGTCATTGGCTGCTCTGTCATACCGGACAAAGTATCCCCATGAAGTAAGAGTTTTGCCGCGCATACACGGTGGTTGCCGCTCGTATACTCCCTCTCCACTACTTACAGTCCCATGGATGTCCCAGACAGCTTCGCATTTTGTTCCTCATGATTGGAATTCCCTTGTCAGGGCCCTTTGGGGAGACATTGAATCGGTCAACATACGACAACAAAACCAAAAAAAGGGTTCCCAGAGTGGAATTGAGGACCCGGAAAAGCTATCCCAAAACTGCCCCTCTCTTCCGCAGGAAACTATCTATCTTCACACAGGAACCGAAAATAGGCGCACACACTCTTCCCGACGATCCTTGCTTGCCGTCAGTCGCAATCACTCCGTGATAATCCGCGTTACTTGCCCGATTGGGTGGAATCCTGCATACTGGCCATGCAGTTTGCGGTGGGCGTTTCAGCCTGCCCAGCGCTCAGCGTTTGACCTTCATAACTCTTGCATCGGGTTGTGATTCATCATTACGACTGTTTTGTTTTGGTTTCTACTCTTCCAGACCTACTCTCATGATTCGATGATAGCTCACCTGACTCTCCACCATATCGGACAGATCATATATGCGCGAGAGGGCTCGAATCCACAGGCCACGTCGCATGCAGAGGACCACGATTCAGGATCAGAAACAAAAAACAATTATGAGGAATATTTTTCATTGGGAACACAAATCATCGGTATCATATCAACACACCCCCGGTCGACAAGTTCAGATCCAGTCTATCCCTTATCGCACTAGAGCTTAGTACCAGCCACGGCCTTTACCACCGGCCCTGGTCAGGGAAGCGGCCCTCGTCACGGAAGTGGGGGTGAGGAGGAAGGCGAGGGTCGTATTCGGGAGCGCCGTGACCGCGCTCGTAGTGCTCCTCGTACATCTGGTGGGCGTTCTCCTGGGCGTGCTTCTTGGCACGGATCTTGTCGACCTCATCCATACCCTTGGTCTCGGCAAGTCTGTCGATCTGAGAACCGACGATGCCAGCAAGAAGCTCCTTGGCGAAAGCGTGGCTAACGGGCTTGCCTGGTGGATATCATGGCGGTTAGCGTGGCTGTCTGACACAGGGAAGGGGGATGTAGTGAGACGGGAGACAATGCATACCCTCCTTGCGCTGGTGGTCCTCGAAGAGCTTCATGCCCTCGAAGGAAGCGGCACCGGCCAGAAGCTCGTGGGAGAACTTGGCCTCGTGGTGCTGCTCGCCGTTGTAGACCTGACGGTGAGCCTCGTTGGAATCGTCTGCAAGGCAAACGTGGTTAGTTGTGTTACAAACATGTCCATCTGATGCGGGTTACGGAAGTCAAACTGGGCAAGCAACGGGACATGGATAATCCCGCGATGCATCCAGATGAGGGTCAGCAGCTGTGCATAGGAGTAACTTACCCCAGCCCCAAGCCATTGTGATTGATGTGTAATGTGTGAAGAGGTTGTTTGAAAAGGAGGAAAGATGGTGTGAGTGAATGGAGAGAGAAAAAGAAAGGCAAGAAGCAGGACGATGGACGCCTTATATACAGCCAGCTGTGCCTCAGCCAACCCACCTCAGCCAATTCAGCTCTCGTCGGCTAGGTACCCCTCCGCGCCCCCTGACCCACTGCTGTCGTGAAGACTAGAATAGCTGCAAGTCTGCAAAACTCTCAATGCCTTGTGGGGGAAGGGGTCATTGGCTGAATGGCGATGCTTTGGTGTGGCCCCTCCAAGGTGGGGTGGATGGAAAGGCAGATCACTCCCAGTCGTTGGTCCCCGCGCCACGTTGGTCATCATTTCACAAATTCACCTCAGCGCCTCGGAGGGGCAGCGTAAGCATAGCAGCTTTAGTGCCGCCTGTGTGTGTAAGCGCTTCTCTGAAGGCTGTCTGAAAGAATCATGCTATTGGCTGCATCGGACAGCATACAGTCAGTCCGGAGGGGTCGGATCGCATGGAGTGAGCCTCCCGGGTTACTAGGTACGGAGGTACACTGTGCTCGGAAATCCGCCAGGGGTACTTTCCGTACAGCTGAGGACACGGTGGGCTTGTTTGTGAGCTGAAACATGGGTCCCAATGATAGGAGGCCGAGGGGTACAACAATGGCGTAGCCTAGACAATAGACAGTCGCCAGAGAAGAGGGGCGGACAGGATCATGACCCCTCCTCGTCCGTTGGTTCCGCCTGCGCCTCTGAAAATAGAGAGAGAGATGGCCATTGCCAATGCGGGACTAGCTGACTGATTCGCAGGATTTCACTTTTCCAGGCCCTTCTTGTGTGCCTACGTTCTAGGGAATAGCAATTATCAAGGATCATCGCCTCGAAAATACGTACGTGTCCCATAATTCCCACGATTCCCATGGGTAGGACGGGCGACACCGCTGGGGGGCCAAGATGCAGATGGGGATTGCCTCAGCCTTAAACTCTGGGTGAGTTCCATCTGGCTGTGGATTTAGCGCCTCGGCCACAACACTCGCCCGGGCTTGGCGAGGGTTGAGGACGAAAGCCGGCTGAACCGAAGGAACACTGTGCGCCAAGAAGCTCTTGTCAAGGCTTATCCTCTGGCCTATCTTGTGCAACTCGAATGGCCCAAGTCAAGAGCTGACCTGGATATCAGATCTAATCTTCCCCAGATCTACTCATATGCAGATTAGGCTGGTACGTAGTGTCTGGCCTGGCCTGGCGGGTAAATCTGGAAATGTCATGTTTTTCGGGCACGCGCAATGCTGCACGAAGTGGAGCATGCTCGGGGTTAATGGTTGGCTATGCGAGGTGCGAAAGTGATCGTTATCCCCACAGCTACTTGCCCGATTGATTCTACCGAAGGCTCCGCAATGTTCGATAGCCTGAGACCGGAAGTCCTGTAGCGTCCTTTCGGAGTTCGTGTCAGTCGGCTGTGATGACCTCTGAATCAGTGGCTTAGGGGGGGGGGGCTGATGTGTGGCAGTGTCGGAATGTGGCTTGGGTCCAGTGGATGAGGCGAGGAGAGGAAAGACATTACGTACTGCTTCAGCTGGAGAATGTGCATCATGTCCATCATTGTTACAGTCGGAGCACAGTTGTCCAGATGGTCGCTCTTAGCCTCGTTTCAGTGTGCATGGGATGGGGACGTCATGCCATGCCAGACAGGAGCCGTATCGAGCATGGAGAATCAACGATCATTCTCCGTTCCATCATGTCATTGTTCGATAGTCGGTCAGGTCATGATAGACCGGTCATGGGAAACCTGCGATGACACGCTGCGATCAACTGCGAGTGTGAGCATGAGTATGAGCATGTTGAATGAACACCTCGTGTCATAATGCAAATAACCTCTTGCATGACGACAGTAAACAGTAGCGCAGCAGCAGCAGCGCAGCATGTGCAGGACAGCGAGCCGACTAACCCGAAAGCGGCAATTAAGTTACCTGCCCGCCCGCTGCCCGGCGCAGACATGAGCTTTCCGCTGCAAGCTCGGGGCAGCCATTCCCTTCCCTCTCCTCCCCTCCATCAAACACCTCCAGCTCAATCCACACAATCACATCACCCTACCACAAACCACCACCAACAAGCAAACAATTTCTAGAACAAACAAACAAACAAACAGGGGGAAAAAACATCACAAACCACAATGACCAACCCCCACCCACGCGCCCCCCAACCCACCGACTTCCCCTCCCACCTCACCCTAACAATCACGCCCCCGACGCCCCCCAGCACCTCCCAAAAATCCCCCAACATCCTCCTGCTGCTGCACGGCCTCGGCGACACCGCCGCCAACTTCACCGCCTTCGCGCGCGCCCTCCACCTCCCCGAAACCACCATCCTCACCCTCCAAGCCCCGCAGCCCCTCCCCTTCGACCTGGGCGGCTACCACTGGGGCGACGACGTGACCTTCACGCCGGCGGGGGAGCTGGACATGGACGCCGGGTTCACGCGGGCGGTGCGCCTGATCGTCCACGAGGTGATTGCGGGGGTCCTGGTCCGGAAGTGCGGGTATCGGTGGCGGGATGTGTTGGTGTTTGGGTTGGGGCAGGGCGGGATGGTGGGGTTGGAGGTTGCTGCTGCTGTTGCTGCTGCTGGTGCTGCTGGTGCTGGTTCTGGGCGACAAGGAGAAGGAGAGGGTGCTGGTGCTGGTGCTGCACTGGGGTTGTCGTCCTCGACGGAAAATGATCGGTGGTTGGCAGGGGTGGTTTCGATCGGGGCCCCGTTTCCGTTGTCCGCGGTCAAGAATACAACAACCCAAAGGAATCGGACGCCGGTGTTGGTGGTCGCGGGGAGGGATTCGGTGGCTGTGACGGATAGTGCGGTACGCAGGACGAAGGATTGGTTTGAGTTTGTCGAGGTTCATCGGTATGCTCGCCGCGGGGATGGGATGCCCAGAAATCGGGACGAGATGTTGCCCGTCATGCAGTTCTTAGCCAGGAGGTTGAGGAGCTGGAAGGGCGTGCCGGAGGGCAGTGTGGAGATCTCTTGAAGACAAAAGAAATATGGATGGGATGTTGTACGATATTCATTTTTGTTGCTTCATAGTGGTACAGTACATACAGGGTGAAAAGTCTAGGGTGTATCTAGTCGACCTCCTCGAGAGCTTTGCGCGCTCGATCGATGGCCTGTCGAGTCTCAAGGGGAGACATCGGGACCTCCTCCTCCACGGGGCGTCCGCCTCGCTGCACAATGCCACGGAGTTGGTCCTCCGTCTCGAGCAGAGCCGTGCGACCGTCCTCGCGGGCCTCGTTCTCGAACCAGGTCCGCGCGCTTTCCCACTTGCGCTGCTGGCGGCGCAGCGAGTATATCAGACCAACCGCTGCCATCGTGCAGGTCTCGTACACAGACGCGGCAGGCCAAGAGAGATAGGTCAGGATCGACAGCGCCGAGGATAGAGTGGTTGTGGACATGCTGAACAGCACGAGTCGCTGAGCCAACGCCTGCAGTGCCGGCGCCGTCGTTTCGACCAGCTTGGTCCGTCGTGTGGATATCTGAGTCGGCCACGATGGTTCTTCTGTTGGACTGGACCCCGGAGTGGTCTCCACCAGTCCGGCCTGCTGGAACCGGCCAGCCGTCCAGATGACCTCCCTCTCAGCCTGACGCAGAAATTTGCGATCCAGGATCTCCCCGGTAATCATGCCCACGTCATCCACGCGCCAGAAGAGCTTCCACCACGCAAGACCCTTCCATGGCTTGCTGGCGAACCCTTCTTCCAGTGCGCCGCGGAGCTCCGTGTGCGCCTTTTCCGCCCACTCCGACACGGAACGATCCAACCCATCCCTCACCTCCACTGGCACCAAGCCCAGTTCTTGCTCCTGGATCCTCTGTGTCTCCTCCGCGACGACACCAGCCTCTGCCGCATCCAGTAGCGACGTGATCAGGCTGCGCAGCGAGGGATCCAGCGTGCTGCCCGCCTCCGCCCGTAGCGCAGTCAGCCAATCAACCACGGGCTGCACACCACTGCTGTTCCACCCGCGTTCGTAGAGCGAGGCGTTCTGCACCGACTCACGGAACCTGGCCAACGCCTCGTCCGCCTTGTCGATGTCCACAAACGCGACCCGTCCATTGTTGTACTTCTCCGGGTTGGTCACCGGCAGCTCGATCGCGCCGTAGACCGACCCCGCCTCGTTCTTGAGATCCGAGCGGGCCATCAGCCCGCTGTAAGCCAAGAATCCATCGACGCCGCTGCCGCACACAATGCTCCGGTGCACCGGGTACCGCACCATATTATGCCGGCCCGAATGCGAGGTCTGGATCGTCACCGTCGGCACCAGGAATGTATCGGCTGTGAACTTGGTATTCGCACGGGTATCCGCGCCCAGGCCGGTGATCAGGATCTCCAGGTTGCCTTTCTTCAGGATCGGCGAGGGGATCGAGATGGTCGGGAGAAGATCATTGGGTATGCTCTGCGAAACTGGACCGTAACTGTTTTCATCGCAGGATGCGAAAGTTAGCCAATGTTTTTCCTTTCCTGTTGATGGTAGATTCTGTAGAGAGCAGACCCACCGGATCAAGAGTCCTCTCTCCAAACCTCCCGCCCCCGCACCCATTTCCTCCAGCAAGTCCTCCCAGCTTTCCTTTCCGTTCAGGGGGTCTGCCAGCAGCAGTTTCACCAGTCTGCGCGCCGCACTGGCATCGTTCAAGCCCAGCACTAAGCAATGTTAGCAAGCCATCGCCATTGTCAATCAATTACCAGCAGGACAGAGGGGAAAGACACTGGATGAACATACCAGCAACACGAATCACAGGGGTCTCCGACTCCAGGCCCCTCATTGCCAACTGCAACCGACTAAGATTGACTTGCTCGGGCGCAACATCTTTGAGCTGGTCGAGCGTCGTGTGGAGACTTTTCAGCCGTGGGGGGATGTTGCGGCCACCGGCATGAACGACAGGAACGGTGTTATTGAGGGGTCGCGGAGCAGGTGTGGAGGGTATCGGATGAGTGTGAGGTCGGAAATCTAGGGGCTGTGATTGCTGTGATGAGTTGGAGGAAGCAACGCCGATGGTGCTGTTGGCACGACGCGCAAGAGTGAGGGCGGTTTTGGTGTTTCGGCGCCAGGTAGAGCAGGAGGGACAGTAAAAGACTGTGACGGAGTCTCGACCCGCGTGCGCAAGGCTCGCTGTGAGCGAGCCGCGTAGTTTGGGAGGCATTGATGTGAATTGAAGGTTGGCAATAAGGATGAAATGGAAGACAAAGGGAGGAAAGCGAGGCCGCCGGAGCAAGCAAGGTATCGGCGGATTGAAGTTGGTGGTTGGTCTTGGCGGGCCGGAAACCAGCCGGATAACTTCCACCACATGTAAGGTACCAAGCATGATTTCAGCGGTGTTTGTTCTCGTATTTCATTAATTTCATTATCTAGGCATTTACGGTCCGATTCCTACGCTGGCTATACGACAATGTTAAACAGCCGAAGGGCAGGGCTGGAAGATGAGAGCAGAATTCATGGTGTATCAGTTCATCAACTCATAGTTCAGACGTCACGGACGCCTGGAACCGCTTGTGCGCAGAAATTACATGATTTATCCCTCGTCCGCCAACTCCAGTCTTTGATACAGTGCTTGCCGCCAGTGCGATCAGCCATCTAATCCAAGGTGGTCGTCGCTGGGCAAGATCACTCGCCCGTGGGGTTCGAAGCTGTGAGTTTCGTTCAATACAAGGGTGAAGCAGTTGCACGCCTAAAATTTCAAGGAAGGATATCTGTCCATGTGCCACATTCGCCAACCCGGCAATTCTCGATTTAAAATGTTGTCTGACGCTCATGCCTCCCGGGAAACGGCAGCAGGGTCTCGTTGCCGACGAGTCTTGCCCGAGCCAGCCGACCTAGATAAATTAGAACCTGCCGTTTGACCTTCGGAAGGGAGCAAAACTTACATGCTAATTCTGCGAGCCACCGTGGCCAGGCCGGCGTCGTTGTCGGCTTCATGCTGCGCCCGCTCGAGAGCAATGCGTCGGTCCTCTTCACTGCGTCGCATGACTTCCTCCTGAGAAGGAGGCAGGCGTTCGTTCTGCAAATCGACCTTGCGCGCATCTTCAAAGTTCGTGATGGCCTGCTTGATGCCCTCCGCACCCAACATCAAAGTACCCGCCGGCAGACGACCACCAGCCGCGGTCTTGAGCTCAGTGACCCGTTCAGATTCTTCACGCAGCACCTGGAACACACGCGACAGACGGCCGATGGCCAGAATCTTGTTCTTGATGGCACGGCGCTTGAATTCGCTGCTCTCCACATCCATCTGCGCCGCTGGCGGTGACGAGGGCGCTGTAGGTGATACAGATGTAGGGGTCTCTTCTTCAAGCTCCTCCTTGGAGCAGGTGTTAAGAATTGCAATGAGCATATCCGTGATCTTCTCACCGACGAAAGGAAGGGACCAGGTGAAGACGTCCATGAAGTTCGGCAACCAGTACGGGTGGGGGGTGCAGTTGAACTGACGGATGTTCATGACGTTGTTCTCGTACTTCAACACAGCGGCTTTGTTGTTGTAGACGTCCAGGTAGTTGGGAGCGCTGAAAATGGTCATGACACTGGGGAAGCCCGTTGTCCGGGTCTTGCGGTACATGCGATAGCCGGCATCTTGAGCTTCGTGCGCGCGAATGATGGAAAGAAGGTTGTTCTTTTCGAGGAAAGCGCAGGCCGCAGGATATGAAAAGAAGTACGAGCAGCCTCGCACACTGTTGTGAATGAAGTAGTCTCCAGTCTTCTCCTGTCCGAATTCTTCCAGAGGATCGGCCCAGAGGATATCACACATCAGACCGTGAGTCGGAGGTTCTCTGAAACGGTCGATCTGAGCAGAGTGCATCAGCTAGCGCCTCACTACACAACCAGTAGAGATACGTACCGCCTTGATGTCCTCCAAAGTATGCAATTCAGGGCTCAAGCCACCGTGGATACACAAGAATTGCTTGTTCATGACCGCCGCCAGCGGCAGCGAGCAGAAAGATTCAATGCAGGCCTCGTAGATGCGCTCGCTGTACTTGTGCTTACACTCCAGCTTAAAGGTGAAGTAGTCCGTCAAATGTCTACATTCGTGATTACCCCGCAGTAACCACAGAGTGTTGGGGTACCAGATCTTCAAGGCCCACAGGTAGAGCACACACTGTTGCGGAGGGTCAGACCGAAGCGGCTGGCAACGGTGGCAGGACGAATACTTACCTCGATACTGAAGTAACCTCGGTCGACATAGTCACCGAGGAAGAGATAGCGGGTCTCGGATGGATCGCCACCGACTTCGAAGAGCTTCATGAGATCGTAATATTGACCGTGGACATCACCGCACACGGTGATGGGCGCATCCATCTCCAGTAGGTTGGGCTCGGCTCTGAGCAGCTGCGTTCCAGCCTGTATGATCCATAACGCTTGGTCTTCCGTAAGACGACCTTCCCGGTAGAAGTGCTGTTTGAGAAACTGAAGGTTGGGCTTGGAGGGGTCCTCAGGAGACCAGAACTGATCGTCCGACGGGGTGTTCAACGCCGGCGCTTGCACCTCTGGATGGTTGCCATGCGATCAGCGGGATTCTTTGTACAGAAGAGGACTCGAAATATTGAGGCGGGGAATGTGGCAGACCTTTGATGACTCGCTCGAGGGTGGACACCTGAGAGCCATCTTCCATGACATGTAATGTGAAGTCGATCTCCGGGACCGGCTTCTTCTCCGTCACCGCACGCGCGATGTTGCGATCCATGGTGAATAAGGATTCGAGGCACAAAGGAGGTTGAGACTTGGATCAGAATGAATCGCAAACACGTTGTGCCCCGGAGGATGAAGGAAGAGGAGGGGAAAAGGGGAAGGGCGACAGGCGCGGAGGCCAGTTGTTGGTGGTTGTGGTGGTGGTGTTGGTGGGGGGTTAAGCGCGGGATGGGGGATTTCCCAGCCGAGACACCAGAGAAAGAGCAGAGCAAGAGGAAGAACTTGTGGCAAGATCGAGCTGCAGGGATGATCTCGGGGCGAAGAGAAATCAGAAAGGTGGAGAAGAGGAACCCGATAATAGGGTCAGGAAGGAGGAGTCGAAGAGGGGGAGAGTTAGTGGGCAGTGGGCAGTGGGCACTAAAGTAGAAGATTTTTAAGGATTTAACGATCTTATATCAGATGGGGGGGGGGAAGAAGTGGGAATTGAAGGCCTGGCCAATACAGACAGAGACACTGAGAGAATAATAGGAGAAAGAGGGTCACTTCAAGTCGGGGCTTGACTAGACAGAGAAACTGAGACAATAATACCACAGTGCCACACTCTTTGAATAACTAACTAACACTTTGTAGATAAGCAAGAGGGGCTATTATTGTAAGGGAAGGGAAGGAGGGAAGGCTGTCAGACGAGCTGAAACCGGGTTCTGCACTCTCGTGTGCTTCTCTTTTTAAGTTGATGGATGGAGATGATAGATAGTAATCACATTAGCAACATTGGCATTAGTTACAGTAGGATAAATTGGATTGATTCCGCTGCAATTCGACGTCAGACCCAACAAACCGTATTGACAGGTAATAATAATCAGCCGCAGTCGGCGATTACCGCCTCGTGACGGTCCCTGTAATCTTCCCACTGCTCCATCAAGGCGGGGAACTCTGGGTCTCCAACTCCAATTACCCTGGACTGTAACTATACCTCCCTTCATGCATCCGATATAACTTACTCCTCTGGCATTCACTATAGAAGCAATCCTCACTGACAACACTGACCATACACACATACATACAAATTTCAGCAGTAACCAGAATGTACGAATCCTACCGTAAGTATCCCGTCCCCTCCTCCTCTCCTTCTCTCAGCATTCTGACCTCAACCCAGGCCCTCATCCCCTCTTAGCCCAAGTCCCCTTGACCGTCTCCCCGTTCATCAACCTCCCCACCACCGTCACCCTCCCCTACACCTACAAGTCGGTCCCATCCACCATCCCGCCCTCCGTCACCGTCGACCCCAGTAACCCGGACCTCAAACCCCGCTACGTAGTCTCCTCGAGCGGGGAGCACGCCGCCTCCCCGGAGGAGATCCTCGCGGCGTGCAACGCCCTGGAGCAGCACCTGAACAAAACCCGCCATGATGCCGAGAAAGCCATCCGCGACTGGGAGGAGTCCATCGTGCAGCGCGACCTGGCGGAGAAGCGACGCGTGGCGCCCGGATGGCTGGACCGGGAGGAGAAACTACTGCGGCCGATGAACGCGGCCGCCGGGTCGGGGTCACCGGAGGGGAAAGCAGCGCAATCGAGCTTGCTGGACAGTCTGTCCGCTGCGGATCCGGGTGCGGCGGCCTTGCCGTCGATGGTACCGCGCGATGAGGGAGAGGAGCTGGATCGGGCGTTTGGGGGGTTGAATGTGAAATGAGCGGGGGCACATCTGCTGGGGCCTGTTGGGCCATGAGGAGCTTATCATGCTCATGCGACGAGGACTCTATCTCCTAGAAGATACGCGCTTCGTGTTGGCGCTGTCGGTGTGTCATGTGTCATAGGTGCTGCGCGCGCAAGACGGGCCATGCAGAGAAGGCCCCTTGCTGGACCGCGGCACGTCAGACGGCGAAGCCTCGCATCACCACGCCGTCGTGTCTGGAACTGGGGTTCCAGGTACACAGCATGCGGCGCAGTCTGCATGAGCTGAAACAGATTGAAAGAACGACTAGTATTGTTAAGATATGGGACAGTGCAGGATTGCCATGTCATAGAAGGCATTGAGCGGAGTAGATACAGACAAACCATCCAAGCTACTATCAAGCTACGCATCCAATCCAGACCATCAAAATTGCAATCTTGTCGCACCCAAAAAGTCCAGCTGCAGCTGAGGAGACGACCGGCGTCCCGAATCGGAGCTCCTCAGCTCCCGCCCGCGGTCCGCAGCTTAGTGGTAAAGCTCCCCGCCGACCCAAACTCTCCATGGATCACAATTTCTCTTTCTCATTTCTTCCCCCCCCCCCCTCTCAAATCCTCCCCAACCTCACATCCCCAACTCTCCGAACAAACGCACACTCACTCTTCCTATCCCTCCCCCTTCAATTTGAAAATGGAACCCCTAACCACCGCCCCCGACACAACAACCTTCACCCCCCTCGCCGAGCACCAATCCCGCACCCCAAGCTCCTTCCACACGGGCCCAGCCATCCTCTACCACCACCGCACAGGCTGCCACCTGGTTGTCCTCGAGCGCGACCTCCTCGCCAACCCGACCCTGGGCGCCTTGCAAGCCAGCAACCCGAATGGCGCTTCCACC